GGGTGGCTGGGACTTACAGCCCTCTTTCCAGGATTTAGTAACTGGAGGCATCAACTGGCTGACCCTAACCTTTCTGTGTAAAATAAGTTACTATGAGACTTGAATAGCCTCATGTTTTCATCCATCTCTCTGTCCACCCATCCATCCATTATCTATCTATCTATCTATCTATCTATCTCTCTATCTATCTATCTATCTATCTATCTATCTATCTCTGTCTATCTCTCTATCTATCTCTCTATCTATCTATCTATCTATCTATCTATCTATCTATCTATCTATCTATCTCTGTCTATCTATCTATCTATCTATCTACCTATCTATCTATCTATCTATCTATCTATCTACCTATCTATCTATCTATTTACCCAGCAGTCATGGAGTCTCATAAACCAGGAGGGGAGACAAGAGTAAGTGGGGTATCTACTTACCTCCTATCTCCACAGCCTCTGCACCCCCACTCCCAGCTCTCTGGCTAGACTGCAGATTCCCAAAGACCTGGAAGGAAGCCTGCCTGGATCCCCAACCTGGAATCACTCAGCCATATTATCTGGGAGCTTGGATGGCCAGCTGTCTCCCACAGTACAGAAGCAAGGCCGTCTTGACCTCTTGCTACCCTGGCATGGGAAGAGTGTGAAGGTACAGGAGGGAGCCCCCAAGCCCTGGCCTGGCATCAGCTTGGTGCAGACTGCAGACAGCCATGGTTCCTGCAGGGAGCCACCGCCCCCCTCAAGTTCTCTGCAGTCACTTCCTTCCCCACTCCTTATCTATTGGACCACCCAGCTCAGAAAGCCACAGCCAACGTCTACTTCCCCACAAACATCAACTGCCCTCCTGGGGGCATAGTGAGCGGATGATCACCCCCAGGTGCTGGGGCAGCCCCCCACTTGTGGGCAACTTTCTTCCCTTTCAAACCCCACCTCTGTCAGGCCCGCTGATTGGAAAAGCATGAGGACAGGGCAATAAGCAATTCAGAGCCTCCTTTTGAAAGCGGAAGCGTCCCATCTGCGGGCCCCGCAGGTGCAAGCCAGGAACATCTGCCTTCGAGCTGAAGCGGAGCTACCCGCTCCCACCAGCCACACCCAGGTCCACCCCTGCTGCCTCTTGGGTGTGGGGATGTCTACCCAAGCCCCTCACTGCCCCAATCCAAAACCTCCCTTGGCTCACTCACTTTGATACACTGGGAACAGTTGGCTCTGGGGTACTGGTGCTGTGGGCCACAGGCAGGCAGACACACCTCTCTGCCTCTGTCCTGCAGAGGTCCAGGAGCCTGGCCCAGCAGGACTGTTGTTGGCACTGCAAATCAGTAAACAAAATACCAGTTCCCTCTGTTGACCCCACACTCCACCCTCATCAGAACACAGCAAGCACGGTGACAATCGTGGACAGTCCTGGCTCACAACGAGGTCCTCCCTCCCCAGACCCCGAAGAGAGCAGTCAGCCAGCACGGCAGAAAGGGCAGGCAGACCCCATGTCCCAGAAGTCTCCAACTCAAGGCCTAAGCATGTAGCTAGTCTACCCTTAACTTCAAGACGCCCAAACGCCAAGACGGTAACGTCCAGGGAGACCTGATGGCATGGGGTTTTAGTAACCAACTATGTACCGGAACAACCTAAACATTAAACCAGAGTGAAGCATAGAGAGCCTAGTGGCATCCTTAGGACCATGGCTAAGAACCCCCACCAGGTTTAAGAGAACTCGATTCCTTCCTGTGAGGGCACCCAATAGTTGTCATCATCATTCCGTAAATGGCTTTCTCTGGAGCCTAAACCTAGGATGGCATTATTTCTGCTAGTAGTCAGCTGGGGAAGGGCCTGGAGTTCCTCCCAAGTAGACAGCCTTCCCAGCAAGTTCTGGGCAGCCAGGAAAGGGGCCCACTGTCTACATGTGGCTTGTTTGGCTCAAGCTCCCCATGGGGAAGCTGGTATCGGATTGTGTTTCCACCACCTGGCAGACTGTGACTCCGATGCTGCTCAAGGCCAGGCATAAGGTGACAACGGAGATTCCTAGAGGGCACAGTTGACTAGAGAACCCCTGATGATGCAGAGAGCCCACCCGAGCCCTGCGCGGGCAGGAGGCTGGTCAGAGTCCTGGCCAGGCTCACTCCTGACGGTGGCCCCCCAAAGCCTTTCACTGGGTGACGAATAGAAGGGGATTCTTGGGCAAAGTGGGTGGAGTCTCTGGACCTCCCAGGCCACAGGAAGGGCTATACTCCATGGGAAGATAGGCAGATGAGCCAGGGACTCTCCCTGGCCAGGATGAACACTACCCCAGGTGGAGGAAACACACTCCATGAGCCACACCAGAGTGGGTCCAGTGGGAGGTTGCCGGGTTGCAGGCAGGATAGGAGGAAGTTGTTGGAAAGTCAAACCGGAATGGCATGGTGGAGAGAGAACCGGCAGCCAGGCAGATGGTTCCTGCCGAGGAAGCACTGGGCACAGCTGCAGTCCCCCGACCCCCACCGCATTATCACTGCGACACAGCTGGCTGCCTCACCCCTGAAGGCTGCAGGAGGACCTCCCCCACGCAGTCCCCAAGCCCGCCCCATGTCACATGAGGCCCTGCAGCCTCCCACCCTCTGTCCAGGGCTACAACCCAGCTCTGACGGCAGCAGAGACTAGAAGGGCCTAGGGCCTCCGAGGGACAGAGGCAGGGACGCCAAGACACCTAAGCTGTGCCATCCCTCCAGTTCTTTCCAGATCCCAAGAAGTCAGAGAAGGTGCTTCAGGGTGGGTTCTGGAAGCCGCCCATCTCACCCCAGCTCCCAGCACCCATCAGTCTCCTGCTCCACCTGCAGCTCCATGTCCCAGGCATCTACCACGCTGGAGAGTGGGGCATTGCTCTCAGGACCCCGGGGTCTTCGGCATGGCAGTCCAGGTAAGAGGCTGGGGTAGGGAATGGGGAGGATTGGAGAGACAGCAGCTGGGACAGGTGGGGCAGGTGACAGGAAGGTGACATCTCCAAGCTGCTGTGCGTGTGCCCAGCTTTGTTGACAACGTGGCCGTGTTGACCTACCTCAAATATCAACACAGTCCCCCCACCAACAGGGAAGCGTCCCTCACAGCTGGGGCAGGTGGCCCCATAAGAGCATGGCAGGTGTCCAGCCTGAGTCCTGGCCCCACCCAGAGGCAGGTGCCTGGCTCTGTGTGAGAAGGAATGGGCTCTGTGTTCTACAGTGGGGGGGCTGAGGCTAGAAGTCAGGGGCTCACAGATGCTTCCAGGTGCAGAGCCTCAATGCAGGCTGGATTAGGGGTCAAAGGCAGGAAGAGTGAAGCCCAGCTACACGAGCTCACTACTTCCAGCAGGGCAGTCGGGGAAATGGGGACCCTTCTCACCCTCAGGAGTTGCTGGTTCTAGGAAGGGACCCAGAAAGCTGCCAGGCTCCTCTACATCTCTGGCCCCGCTCCTAGAACTCCAGGGACTCAGAGATACAAGCAGGTGGCTCCATCTCCAGCCCACAGCCAACCACGTGGTCACACTCCAGGCAACCTTCGGAACTTTCCTGAGCCCACAGTTCTGAGCCCCACAATACGCTTTGCTTGCAGTCAAATTCAAGTCCAGACCCTGGGCCCGGGGCACCCTTTTCTTCAGGGAGAACCACAGTGAGGCTGGTCCAAACCTGCAGCTGGCCCAAGGCCCTGACATCCAAACCCCCATGTATCCAGAGACATGTAGGACTCAAATGATGGTGCTGGGTATACGTGGCCCAACTTCCCAAACAACATGTGTTATCTATGGCTTCTGCCAGGTGAGGGGATTCAAAGACACCTGTGAAAATGTGCTTGTTCACGAACCCAGGTGTGAATACCCTGCAGGTGGACGCAAGGGAGGTGTCTGCCCTGGACTAGGTCCTTTCTCCCCTTCTACCCCCGTCTCCCACATGGCTTCTCTGAGACTGGGAAGGAGACAAGAGGTGAGCTGGATGTGGAAGAAAGACCACTGTGTGATTTGGATGGAGCAGTAACCCTAGAAGGTCAGGCCACAAAGTGTACGTGAACTTGGTTGTGCCAGCAATATGGATGTAGTATTGGTGGGATGGGGTTGCCCAGAGCAGACAGTCTGTGTATGTCTCTGACAGAATACCCATCCTCCAGTTTAATGTCCCCAAGGTCACTTTGTGCATACCACATTCCCTAAACAACCTCCACCCAAGGGACCGATGTGAGACTCTGCAGTGCTAGAAAACACCACCAGAGGCAGCATGGAGCTGGGCCCCTTGATAGATATAGATGACTAAGAAGGTTCTGGGGCCTCTGTAAACCTCCAGGAATCTGTGTAGATCTTGGAGACAGAACATGGGCTAATTGGTTTCACTCAAATCATTGCAAGAGTAGAGAGGAGTTTGGAACTGAGTGCCAAGAATCTCTTTCTCTACAAAGCCAGTATACTCAGAATGCTCTAAGCTGTGCTCGTGGTTAATGGCCACAGGGGAGGTATCTGCTGTGAGCTGGGACATGGAGGCCTATGGGTAAAGTGTACGAGACTTTCACTGTCCCTGTGACAGGGCAAGGAATGAGGAGTCAGCACTGCACGGGGCAATCCCACCCTCGGAATGATGGTGCGGCATCCCCGACTATTGCAGACCCCAGAGTGCAGAGGGCCAGAAGCAGACCAAGTGGAGGGTTAGCAGGCTGGTGTTTATTAGGTGCCTACTGTGTGCACTAGGAGCAGCGTGAGCGCCGCCAGTCACAGATGGAGACCTTGAAACCCACTCACAGACATTGCAGCTAGAGGATCCCACAGGGGAGGCTCAGGCCGTGAACCCCAAGGAGTAACTAAGTCAGGCGGTTTGCTAGTGTGGCTTTAGAGAACAACATGGGTCCCAGTTAAGCAGGAGGTAGGGAGGTGTCCCTAAGTGGAGCAGCCCAGGCAGGGGCATGAGGGGCAGGGTGCAGAGGGTCACTGGCAGCAAGGACACCAGGGCCTCTTGGTCCAGACTGGAGTTCTGAGCCCAACCCTGGGCTGGCTGGATTCTACTACCCATTCCCTCCTCCCTCTTCTTCCTCCCCTTCCCCTCCCCGCTGCTCTGCCATCCTCCTCCTCCTCCTTCTTCCAGGCTATCGTTTGAATGCCCAGGTTCCTTCCTCATGCATAGATTCTACTAACCCTGGGTAGAAGATATTCAGGAAAAACATATCTGAACTGAGTTCTTCTTGTAGGTCTGTCTACTTGCGTCACATCATCCAGTGCTCACAGGGCACACCCAGGGTCTGCGCAAATGTGGGGCCACTTTGTGTGAGTGACTCGATACCGTGCACTTTGGTGTTCTCACGCAGCCCCCTGTGTGATAACAAGGGGTGAGTGGGGAGCTGAAACACAGCAGTAGGTTCTCCCACGGGCAGGGACCAGGCTTAGTTACAGGGTCACACCTCCACCAGCACAGCTACCCTGCCTCTTCCAGCTCCTGCTACATCCAGGCACCCTTCATCTACGGGCGGCGTTTCGCCACTCTCCCTCCATCCCTGGATTGTGATCCTCCTAGTCTAGGTGCAGGATGTGGGGGCTGCTGGCCAGAGGGTCTGGTGTGCGCTCCAGCTGCCCCCTCAAGGGGAGAACCAGAACCTTACTTTGATGGCAGATCGCACAGGCACCAGCTTCCAGGGGCACAGAGAACATCCCCAGGGCAGCCACGGTAAAGCTCAACATAGAAGCCATGGATGTTTCCACTTCACACTTAGCCGCCATGGAGGCTGCCCAGCCTCTGTGCCCGTTAGTGAGAACCAAGCTTTGCCAGGGACGATGTGACTCACGCAGGAGGCAGGTTCCCGACAGACAAGAGAGGCTAACCTGGGAGCAAACTTCTGAAGCTGACCTCAGAAGTTCCAAAAAGAGGGCCTGTGGGGCCCATGGGAATCTGCAGAGAGTTAACAGTGACCATTGGCCCTCGTCTGCTGATATGATGGTGACCTTTGACCTAAATCTGTGTGAGTGACTGTGATCGCTCACCCACATCTGCTTGAAATGAGGCGACCTCTGACCAGCATCTGCATAAGGTGGTGGTGGCTTTTGGCTCGAGTCTGAATGATGTGGAGATGACCTCTGACTCATGCTGTGCCAAAGCACCGTCATAGTGTCCTTCCTGTTAGGCCCGCCAGCTCCTGTAGTGTGCCGTGACCTTGACCCCATCCTCACCTTCCAGCCCTTCTTCCTTACTCAGGCCTGACACACTGAGAACCCTGAAGCGATGGGTTGTGGCCCACTCAGACTCCACCTCTGCCTCTGTCTTGCTGGCCACATGGTCTCAGGAGCTCCTGTGGGAGGTCGTACCAGCCTTGAGAGATAGCAGAAGATGACAGAGAGGTTCCAAAGAGCACCCAGCATGCTTTGCTGAGCCTGCAGCCTAGACTGGGGAGCACATGGGTTCAGATCTATCTGTGGTAAGTGAGATAGCCCCACAAGGTCAGCTCCTGGGTGAAGGGGCAATTGCAGAGAGAGCCAGAAACACCCGGGTTGAAAAGTGAACAAACCGTAAGGGACATCTTGCAAAAGTCAGACCGAGGAGGAAGGCAGAGCCCCCAGCCCCCGAGCAGGCAGAGAATGGAGGGATTAGGAGGTAAGTGGGGGGTCGCAGCCTGAATTCAAGTCTTCCTCCTGCCGGCCCCCGTGGACAGCACCCTCATCCACTCACACAATGTCCAGATCTAGATAAGGTGAAAGGCCTCTGCTCCAATCCATGGTGTTTTCTCCTCCTGCCCTGAGGCTAAGTAGACAGTCCCTTCTGGGACACAGCCCTGTCATTTCCCATCTCCAGCGGTGAGACTAGCTGGAAGCCAGGAGGAAGGTGTATGCAGAGACAGGATGAAGTCCCGGCCAGCTTCCTATAGGAAGTGTTCCCAATGGGACAGCTGGAGGCTATTCTTCAGGCAAGGGCGACTTTCAGTTCTCAATGCAAGTCGAGCAGAAAGCTGTTGGTGGGTGTGCTAATATATATAGGCCTCTCTGGTCTCTGTTCCCTGAGGGGATGCCCATCCTGTGCTCCCTCAGAACTGTCCACTTCAGTAGAGGAAGCCAAGGAAAGAGAGAAAGGGGCCTCTCTGAAAGTGGTCCACCCACCCCTGGGAGTAGGATGGAGGTGTTGCGAGCACAGTGCTGGACCCAAGGTCAGACCACATGGAAGCTGGTGAATTCTCCATGAAATTCCCAGGGGCATGTCTACCCAGCCCAGGATGGCCACACAGAAGGACAGGAACCCTGCCCAAGGAGGCTCTAGCAGCTCTCTTAACTGAGCAGAACTGCTTGCTGCCCATTGGAAGGATGATGGATCTGATAGACACAGGCACCCTTGGGGCGCCCCCTGGGTCCATAGCCCTGAATGTCTAGCCCTCCCACCTGTCCTGTGGGGCCTCTGGCCATCTGGCTGCTTTGCAAACACCCAGGGCCTTTGCACATTCTTTCCAGCTGCATTCTGCCCCTTGCAGTTTCTCCACCTGATGAGCCCCACGGTGTTTCCCCAGTCTATGTGTGACATATCATCTGTCCCTCTCAATTGCATTTGGCTCCATAAGGTTGGGTCTCAGGCTGCCTCGACCAAGAGAAGGGTGTGCTCAGGAGCGACTAGCACTGGAAGGGAAAGGGATGTCCATGGAGAGGTGCAGCCATGACAAGCTCACACAGCATAGGTTGGGCAGATACCACCAGGGCAAGCAAATGTTACCAGGGTCTACAATGCAGGGCAAGGGGGGAGAACATGGTTTCTTGGTCATGGATGCAGGGACACCCCTTTTGCTGTGTCCACTGTTGGCTTCCAGCCTAGCAAGATCAGGGCAAGCTGTCCTGAATTCTAGGTGAGTGAGGATCCTGGAGGCACACTGAACCTCCTAGCAAGGAGGTCCCAACTTCCTCCAAGGCAGAGGGACAGGGGACACAGTA